TGTGTGTGTGTGTGTGTGTGTGTGTGTGTGTGTGTGTGTGTGTGTGTGTGTTGTGATTTCTAAATAAACTGAATATACTGAAGTTCTTAAAAGGAAAAAAAATATTCCTGCCTTCAATTACTTTCAAAGCTTCCACATTACATGAATATTCTATTAACTCTGAGTAGAGAATGGATTTGATATACACATTCAGTAGAGAAGTCATTTCCAGTCATCTCACCACCATGTTAACCATCATCCTCCATAATCCTGCATGTTGGCTGTGGGCTGTCTTTCAGGTAAACTATGAGCACATAAATCTGCTTTTCTTTTCTTGTGTTTAACTTAAGGGAGCCAAGCAATCTTCCTCTTGCACATCAGGTCTGTGTGAAAATAAATGGTATTTAGCCTTTAGGTACTGGAGCCTGTTTTAATCCAAATTTAGCTTTCCATGCGTCTGTTCATCTCGTCTGCCTCACAGGGTTGGGAAAAACACTCAGTCTAAACTTTGTAACTTTATTTTACCACATTGTACTTTTCTCTATGGAATTTCTATTTTTTTTTTGTTTATAGTCTTTCAAAAGAATGTCATAAAACATGTTGGGAGGCTTGCTGCTCATCATTTTGTCAAACATGTTGAAAGGGTCCCAGAAGATAGGACTCTATTAACCATAGCCATTGTGTTTTAYGCTAAATAAATAAAAAATAAAAATAAAATAAAAAACCTCAATGCTACAGTGACAATTCCTTGATCATCAAAGTTCCCTTGTAAATGTTTAATGACCCATTTATAGATAATTAATGAGGCGATTTGAACTTTTTATATTTTCCACCTATGCATTAAGTAGCCAGATTCTGATGAATTATTTTCACTGATGGCCATGTTCTTACCCAACTCCCAAATGTTTTTTTTTACATGAATTGTGTGGGTATCAGTGTTAAGTGGGTCTAAATAACATCACACAGAGTCCTTTGTGGCATACATCCTTCAGTAGATTATATTTTGAGCTGCCTTTGTCACTAAAAAACCTCATGGGAAAATATGTCATTTGTTTTAACAAGARTTTTCTCTTTCTTTTCAGCCCGCAAAAGGATTTGCTAGCTCATTCCATGTGGACCTGTCGGAGACAGCGTGAATTTCTGTACTAGACCACCAACACTGACGCTAGAGATGGCAAAAGAAAACTAAAGAAACACAACCTGGACAACAGCAACCTTGGTTAAACTTCATTATCTAGGGTGGCGAACTGTAACGAAGCCTTGGCAGTGGCTGCTGAGGGAGGGAAGGAGAAATAATTACCGAGTAGCTGTAAACCTCTAGATACCCAAGGAGCAATCCAAGGCTTAATTTCTCTCAGCAGGACTGAGACCAGGGCCGAAGCTCTTGACCATGTGAAGAATATAATGGAATCAATTTACAGACAAAAGCGGAACTGAAAAATTAGAGAGATGCAAAGCAAGTGGAACAAATGAACCTACAGAGGTGTTTTTATTCTGACTGAGGGGTTAGCCTCTAGAAAAATGTGTGTGCCTGTTTACATCAAGAGAAAAAAAAAGACCTGTTGTTTCTGTACAAACTTCAACCAATGTCTATGGAACCCTTTAGCTATTTCTATGATCACCACTAAGCCAGCTGTACAGAAACTGTTCGGATGAATAAAATAAGACTGATAGTCTGAGACTAAGTTACTGACAAATAGATGGATGAAAGAGAGAGCGAGAGAGAGAAGGAATTGTACAGGAATAATAAAACAAAAAGGAAACAAGGATGTGAACAAGAGCTGATGTGCAGTAATTTAAATTCTGTATTGCCGGTTTTTTGACTTGACTGTCTTTATATAACTTCTCTTTATTTTTTGTTTCTGTTGTTATTTTCTGTGTGATTAAAGTGTGCAAACTCAACAAATTGTCAAACTCACAGTTACAGAAATGAACGTTTGGTCCAAAGTCAGGTTCACTCCTCTTTTTGAGCTAAGCCACTTCAGGAAGGAGATTTGGACAAATCACTGTGTAGAAGAATCCCATGTTTGAGTCTATAAATAAAACATCAGAAATGAATGTTCACATTTTTAAAATCACTTATTTATATTTCGTGAGGTCCTTCCTGAGCTGACTGCACTGAAAGTGAATTGACCCATTCCTGAAATTTGGCTCCAATGATGCCATTGGCCTATTTACATAAACAATCAAACACACTATGTGGTTTTATCATGTGTGCAAAGTGTTTACTGTGCTATTTTAAAAGCGTATAAATGAATATAAATCTATATATATATATATACATATCTATATATATATACAATATACTTTTTTTCTGAAAACTGTGTAACCATGATTATTATTATTTTCATTTTATTTTTCACACATTATTATGTCTTTCAGTCTAACAATACCAAGTGCTACAAAATCAAGCTTAATTTCGAGGAGCCTAAAAAACAAACAAAAAAATGCCAGCAGCAATTAAGTTGACATTTTCATTTGATTGTTACTTTTCACTGTTTACATTTGCTAGGCCTTGTTGTGTGCTGCAAAGACACCATTGGAGTTGTTCTGACCTACTGTGTATTTTTCCTAGCAGAACATATGATTTTGTACAGGATGCAGGGGGATATCACAATCCAGTAAGATATCAAAAGTTTAACAATCATACTAGAAAAGCATACACAAACAGGTACAGAAAGATGTAAACCTGTAACACATGTTGACAAGTGTTGCACACACAGGCGCGCGCGCACACACACACACACACACACACACACACACACACACACACGCACACACACATGTCAAATGGTGGTAAATAAACAGTGTCATTGAAGTTCTTTAAAGAGTGTTTTGTTGAGTATGCATTGGAATTTACCAACCCAGTTTACTGAGTATTTTACCATTTGTTTCATAACCAATGATTGCTCATAACTTGGGGAAAAAAGTGTACTAAACAATTCAACCCATTATTGACCTTTTTACAATTACTAATGTGCATGTGTAAAATTGGGCACCACATACATCCATGCAAACATGCTTTTTATATTGCCTATCACATTAAAACCTATTTATAAAAGTGTTTTATTGGTATTTTCATTGTGATAGCATGTGCATCATTATCTGTAAAAAGGTCAATTAGAAAAAAATAATTAAAAAACTAAGAAATGATCAAAGTTTAACGTGGTTTAAACTTTGATCATGCCCATGCAACTTTTGGAATTTAAAAGATAGCAAAATTGTTTTTTTTATTAAATGTGACCCATCACATCAAAAYGRGGATTAAGTCCAAAAGTGGAATGTGGAGAAATAKGCAAATATAGGGCTTTGATTTAAATGTGTGCAAAAATTGCATTTTTTCAAAATATAATGAATCAATGCCTTATCAATGAATCATTTGAATGAACTGTCTGAAGTATAATCCTAAAAAATGAAGCTTTTTTTGAGCAGTAGCAACAATAAACTTGATTTTGAGGAAAAACACCTTATTTTTTCCTGTAAATTGGCAACGTTTTTGTTTATTTCCAACTGGAAAATCTTAATATACAAATACTCTTTGAGTTTTCCTCTTTATATTAACAAAAAAAATACTCAATATATTTACATAAAATTAGGATTCAGACCAAACAGTAATGTATTAGCATAACCAACAAGACAAATTAACTCATATATCTGGATAAGCTGATGATATCAGAATGATCCAAGTATCAAAATGTAGCTTTTATTCTGAAAATGCACTTAGTTCATTTTGACCAAATTTGACTTAATCCTCATTTCGATATGATGGGTCACAAATGGTAAATGGCCTGAATTTATACAGCACTTTATCAAGTCCAGTGACTCCAAAACATTTCTCACGACACTCATTCACACATTCACTCACACATTCACACACTGATGGTGCTAAGCTACATTGTAGCCAGAGCTGCCCTGAAACCAACTGACAGAGGTGAGGCTGCCATGCACCGACATCAATCTGACCACCACCAGCAGGCCAGGCTAGTGAAGTGTATAGCCCAACTCAGACGGCTCGATTGGGGGTTTGCACCGGCAACCCGTTATCACCACTGACATTAACTCTCATACCAGTTCATCCAAACTGTGCAAAGATATGTAGCGTAATTAGATCAGACTTGAGGTCAGCGATATCGCTCWATATCACTCAACCTCTATAATCACCAAGATTTAAACTGTGGATGATACTGTCCTCTTTTAAAATTTATAGCAATCATTTTGTTCTTTAGACTCATTTTAGTTTGTATATCAGTGGTGGATGCTGCAGATGTGAAGTTATTGACAAAAATTTAAACAAAATTTATCTTTTTTTTGTTGTTKTTTTGCTGATGAAAAATACAGGAGATTTAATATTTTGTCCAGTCAAGTTAAAGAAGGCTGCAAGTATCTGAATTCCCTTGTTTATGTATCCTATTTTTAATGTACACATTTCCATCAAAATATTCAAATAGCCCAAAGGAATGAGACAGATTTTGAAGATGTATTCACCAAGGTTTTGCTCTACTTTCTCAAGTCCTTGACCTCAAAAACTCTTCAAAACGTCACAATCTCTCATCCCTTCAGTCCAGAGTGATCTTCAGACAGCCTGGCATACGCTTACAGAGAAACAGGGAAGTACAGTAGAAGAAGAGTTCTGGTATCAGCTGCAAGTGAAGTTTTGGGGTCATGTGGGAAACACAGCAATCCCACACTTGATGTCCTAAAAAAAACAGAGTTGAGTTTGTTTCCATGACAAGATTTACATCTGACCAGGGCATGTGACTGATCTTGTGGTTGGTGTCTAGAACTGAGGTCTTTTGAGTTTCTGCATTAAAAAAAAAAACATACACAGAAAAAAAAAAATCAAGAGTTTGTTCACTTGTAACTTGAAACCTTTAAAATRAATTTTAGAAAGAGGTCACATGTTTAACTATGTAAATGGGAGAAAATAGGGGTCATAGAAATAAGGGTATTTTTTAAATTTTATAAGTAGAAATGGCCTCTTTACAACTTTAACAGGACTATTGCTTACATTAAAGTTTAGATAGATAGATAGATAGATAGATAGATAGATAGATAGATAGATAGATAGATAGATAGATAGATAGATAGATAGATAGATAGATAGATAG